GCCAGCCGCCCGCCGCCCCTCTCCTCCGCTCCTTAATTTTCAGGCTGATGAAATGGACGCCCAGAGGAAACTGCAATCACACATGGCCGGAAAGAGATCAGAAAGGAATTTAAAAAAAAAAAAAAAAAAAGCAGGAGCTTGGGGAAAGGAAAATGCGAGCGAGGGAAAAAACGGTTGAGGGTGACATCTAGAGGAACTCAAGATGGGGATCGGCTTTATGGGGGTACCCCAGGCCTCGCTGCTGGCTGGGGAGCACCCCGGGACGGGGATGGGGTCGTCTGGGTGGAAATGGGGTTGGTTGGCAAAAAAGGGTTAACTATGGGAAGAAAGGGGCGGGGGACTGCAGGGGAGGGGGGGGAAAGAAACACAGAGGGGGGAAGGCAGCGAGGGACAGGGCTTGGTGCCACAGCCCCTGTTTTGGCCGTTTGATGGGTGCTGGATGGGCAAAGACCCACCGGGTGCTGTGGGGGAAGATGCTTTGTGCAAGGATTCGGGGGAGGCAGGGGTGCGAGGTGGGACCAGGGGTGCAGGGGGTGGGCAGGGATTTCCTCCCCAGCCCCACGCTTCACGGATTTGGTCCGGGAGGGGATCTTGCGGTGCTGGTGCTCTGAGACTCTGGGAGCATCCCGGTGATGGAGGCTCAGGCAACTGGAGGTTCCTGGTGATGGAGGGTCAGCAAAGCCAGGGCTTGCCACCAGCCCTAGTGGGAGAGAGGACACAGGAGCTGCTGTGAATGGGGAGCTGTGCAGCCCATTTTAGGCCTAAAATCCCTGAAAAAACATTTTATTCATTAAATATGGGACACATTTAGAGCTGGTCTGAGACCTCTGAAACCCTTATTCCTTTCCCGAGGCTGCCAAGATCCTCCTGGCTTGTGGTTTCACCCCCTGCTTATGGGATCCATTAATTTCTGTTCTCCATGGAGAAGTCTTACCTTTATTTTAGCTCTCAACTTGCTGGAAATGCTGCCTTTCCCCTTGCTCTCCTCCAGCCATATCCAGTCTTCTTGTCCCAGACAAGCTCAGAGCCCCGCAGCAAAGTAGGAGCCACACAGAATCACAGAACAGTAGGTGTGGGAAGGGACTTCTGTGGATCATCTAGTCCAACCCCCTGCCGAAGCAGGGTCACCTACAGCAGGCTGCACAGGACCTTGTCCAGGTGGGTCTTGAATATCTCCAGAGAAGGAGACTCCACAACCTCCCTGGGCAGCCTGTTCCAGTGCTCCGTCACCCTCAGAGGGAAGAAGTTCTTCCTCATGTTCAGACGGAACTTCCTATGCTTCTGTTTGTGCTCATGACTTTTGAAAAGGGCATGTGGTGACAGGATAAGGGGTGATGGATTTTAAATGGAAGAGGAAGGTTTAGATATGACATAAGGAAATGTTCTACAGTGAGGGTTCTGAGACATTGGACCAGGTTGACCAAGAAGTTGTAGATGCTCCATCATTGGAAGCGTTGAAGGTCAGGTTGGATGGGGCTGTGAGCAAACTGGTCTAGTGCAAGGTGTCCCTGCCCATGGCAGGGGGTTTGGACTAGATGACCTTCAAAGGTCCCTTCCAACCCAAAATATTCTGTTATTCTGTGATTCTATGACTTCAGCGGGGCTGGACATCTGGGGAGCAGCTTTGTGCCACCTGGCAGTGGCTCAACAAGGATTGGGGCATCTAGGCTTTTAGCCCCATGAGGGTTGGTCCCACACTGAGGGTCTTGGCTGATTGGGGAGCAGGAAAAGGTCTCCATCTTCGCACTGGCTGACTGCAAAACTCTCCTTTCCCAAAGAATTAGGGGACGTACGTGATGAAAATGAAATCCTGAAGGGTTTTTTTGATTTCTTTATCCATGAATTAACTTCTGTTTTCCTCCTTCACCGAAGCAGAATAAGCTTTTGTTTAAGGCAATAAGCTGCAGAGATAGAGACTTCTAGTGTTTATGTTTTCCATTTCCAGGCGAATCCCATTTCAGAGCCCCCTGAACACTAGTCTGGGAACTGAACATCCCGACCGCAACGAGCTGCGGTGGACTGAGCATCAGAATAGAAGATTGGTTTTACACAGGGGATTTAACAGCCTGGGTTTGGCTTCTGATGTCCATCCAAAGCACGCGGGCGGAGAAGGAATGCTCTGTTTTCAGACTGCAATGGAGTCACTGTTTTAATTTTAGTTTCTCCAGAGCAAAGCTGTAAGCAAGCCGTTACCAAAGCAAAGCACCCTACGGAGGCTGGAAGGGGCAGAGGAACTGGAGCCTCCCTGCTCGCCCACACGCCGTCCCCAGGGGTACTGGGGTGCCCTCCCCAAACTGGTGATGCTGAGCACCCAAAACCCATGTGTCCTTCTTAAAAACCCTGACGTGACTCATGCACGCGGGTCAGAGGAGGTGTTGGGACATCGTGGAGCTGCCAGTGCTGATGCTGGGACAGCAGAGCTAGGCTCAAAGAGGAGCCGTGAATGCACCAAAAGACCTTCGTTTTGCAAGTGCAAAGCTCCATCAAGAGGTGACAATAAACCACCCCCTAAAACACAGAGGAGCTTCAGAGGGTGCAATTTATGTGTACGGCAGGAAAAAAAATGATTCCAGGAGGACTCAAGAAAGTTTAATTTCCTCTGTGGCTTTCCATGTTTGATAGATACTGCTGGGCGTGAGCATCAGGCCGTGCTTCACTCGCAGCTCTCCGATGTTCCAGCAGGTTGGTGTGGCTCACAGAGCTCCCAAACCCCTGTCAGGAGACCAGCCATGTCAAAACAAACCATGAAAGGTCTCAGAATTTCACTGCTTTCTTCCTGAGCATCCTTTCTTAGATGCTTTCATTCCCTCTTAGTAGAGGGAGGTTCTCCTCCCCCTCTACTCTGCCCTGAGGAGGCCCCGTCTGCAGTACTGTGTCCAGTTCTGGGCTCCCCAGTTCAAGAAAGATGAGCAGCTACTGGAGAGAGTCCAGCGCAGGGCTACGAGGATGATGAGGGGACAGGAGCATCTCTCCTAGGAGGCAAGGCTGAGGGAGCTGGGCTTGTTTAGGCTGAAGAAGAGAAGGCTGAGAGGGGACCTTATCAATGCTTCTAAATATCTTAAGGATGGGGGTCAGGAGGATGGGGCCAGACTCTTTTCAGTGGTGCCCAGCGACAGGAC